AACTTGACACCCTGCCCCTGCCTCACCAGACCAGGCACTGCAGACAAGGAGAGTCTCCCCCAGAAATTTTACAACCGTTTCCTCTAGTCATACATGGATGGCAACCAATGCCTTGATTTAAACATGGTAACACCCAAACATTGCTTGTGGGACCATCGGCGTCCGGTAACCCTGCTCCCAGGTGCAGAGCTTCACTTCTCCATTAGCAAGAAAGTAAATTACTATCCCTCAATGACTGAAGCTGATATATTTTAAAGTTATTGCATCTTCTAAATCCTAGGTCATTTTATATTTCAAACATCAGACTTTTCATCAAGCTCATTTTAATCTTCTTCTAGGTGGAAATTCACTGTCTTTTAAGGCACCACTACCACAGCTCTGAACTGAATTTACACTGCCAGATCAGCACAAGGGGAGCCAAACAATTTGACCTTGGTTTCTATTTCAGATAATTACCAAGACACTGTTCTGGACAAGAATCTTTAGCCAGATAAATACCTCTCTGCGGGCCAACCACTGTTCTCCTTCCCCCTCTGTGCACCAAAAGCTTCACATGCTGTAAAATCAGTTATAAACACAGTGCTCCATTATAATGGTGCTGATCGGTATTATGGAAATGCCCAGGATAGCTGCAGATGTAATCAGGGAGTCAAATAATTCATGCTTTTATGTAATACCTAATCATACATACCTCCACCATTATCTTGCTCTACAAATATTAAGACTACAAGTGTGTGTGTCTGTATAAAACAATGACATTCAAAGCTAAGATCTTAGTGGGGGAAAAAAAAACAGCTGTGAGTTTTAAGTTATTTTCAAACATGTAAACCTTTTCATTCATTCCTAAACTAAGGTTTTTAGTCTGACATAGTGAACCTTCAAAAAAACCCTATGAAAATTAACCAGTCCAAGTACAAAATGACCTTGCCTAGCATTACACAGCAATGATAATGAAAGCAAAGGACTACTTAGTACTTATGAAAAATAATTATTCATTCTAGATTAATGACTAAGCAGATCATACTAAGGATGTTTAAATTTTAAAAATGAGTTTGTTTACTTTTTAAAGGTTGTAAAACACCACAAAAGATCTACAGAATTTTATTAATATTTGGGAACAACATTTTCTTTTGCTAGCAAAGCAATCAGGTAGCCACAGGGAAAGTTAATCAAAATACTGAGGTGAAAAAGAAAAATTAATAAGCAAAAGTTTATTAATTTTTAAGAATTTTTAAGAGCCAAGCATGACATTTTAAACTGTATGCCATCCAGTAGACTTACCGTGACATTGTAATTAATGCAACCCATTTGCCACTAACAGTGAGAGAGGGACATCTGCTTATAAATTCACCTTGGAGACTAGAAACACTTGGAGATTTCCAGAAGTCAAATTAAAGTTAAGAGGCATAATGATCCGGCAAGACTTTCCCAATCAATAAGTCACCATCCATCATACCAGGTGTTCCCCAGCTGAAAGCACAGGCAGCACCCTGCCCATTTCTGCCAGCTGAGCTGCCCAAAGGGTGCTCTAATTCGGGCTGCTAATTATAAAAGGAGACTATTAAAGCAAGCCAAAGAGCAGCCAGGCTTTTTCCACCGACAGATGAATTAAAGGGTTGAAGAAGCACACCACGATGCACATGCTGAACTGCTGGTCCTGTGCAGGCATATGGCAAATGTCTTCCAGCTACCGGTCCCAGTTTGAATTAAAAGAGTATGGCTTTTTAAACCTGCAGTATAGACTTCCAAAAAAGCCCTTTAAAGCCAGATTCTGATCAGTTTGCCTGTTGGCACACCATGGATTTTGGGGACATTTCCACAATGACAGCAATGTGTTTGTTCGGGGGGACTCTTGTGGCCATGTGGATGCAAATGTGAATAGCTCTGGGTTTATTTTGGTTTTCTATAGCAAATGTCACTGCAGGTCTCAGTAAGTGAAACTATATCCAGCAGGTACTAATCAGCAGACACTAATGCCAGCAGGCTCGCACCAGTTTGCCCTCTTGAAAGGAATCTGAGGCAATGGAACAGGCATTACATGAGCTGGGGAATAATTTTAAATTTTGGCTCAAGCTCTTTCAGAGCATCAGTCCCAGTGAACCTGAAAGCCACGCAGCACACCTAATTTAATTTTTTATTGTAATGCCAAAAACAGGTTTAAAGAAACTCAGAGAGCTTATTAAATGACTTTTGGAACCGAAATCTTGTTTGTCAGCTCCTCAGCGGGGTGAGGTGTGGGACAGGGTGGGGTTGAACAGGGCTAATACATTGCCTATGGATCAGCAAAACCAGCCCCTGCACTCATTTGGCATCCCTGTACCACGTGAACTCAGCCCTCAGGGAAGTTTATTCAAACCCAGCAGAGCCCAGCCACTTAAACTGGTCCAGATTTGCTTCTCCTTCAGGTTTCTTTCACATCAAACTCTTCTGGTTAGCCAGCTTTGGGAACCATAACTCTTTTCTATTATCTACCCAAGTCTATGTATTTTTTCCCCATTAATTCACCTAGTACCTTTGTGCTGAAACAATCCAGATATGATTTAATAAGCTTTAGAAAGATAGTACTGGTTCATATGCAGGAAATCAGATTTACATAATTTTTCACTCGCTTTTATAGCCACCATAGTTCAAATTATCTTTACGTTGGGGAAACTCTTTTAATATGATAAAATGAAATACCACCTACGCTATGCTTCAGCTTGCTAGCCTGGTTTTTGTAATAAATTAAATGTTGATTTGTCTTACTGACTTATCACAGAAAGTTCCTTTTTAATGAGAAGAGAAGAAAGCACCCTGTCCTGCAGTTAGTCATGGTTATAATTCAGTAAACTAAGCTTCAAAATCAAGCTTCATCTTGTCATTTTTTTTATTACCTGAACTTTTCTTCATGGGGGGGGAATGAATGATTTTTGGTTCTATCACACACTCTGTGCCTAATAAAATGTCATACGTTGAGAAAGGACCCAGTAGAACATAGCTCAGATTTCTCTGTAGAAAGCAAAGGGTTGTTTATGTTTCAGTGTTCAGACTGAACAAGACTTGAAATTCAGGAGACTGCATCCTGCAAAAGCAAACCTCCTCCCTGCACATGCCACCAAGCGAGGTTCTGCTCTCCTCCCTGGGCTCCATCCTGCCCACACTGTGCAAGCCTCCTGGACACCCCGGCAGCATGGCTCATGTCTGCCATCAGGGATGCTTTATTTCTCCTCCTCTGCCCAAAAGGGAAGCACGTGAGGATTTGGTGAAGTTTGCTTACTCTGAAGCACTGCGTGCGCTGTATCCTGGTGTCTCCCTGCCAGAGGTGGAGTTGGCACTGGCAAGGGGCAGCGGTGCTGTCAGAGGTGGCTCATTCCTGGACAAGGTAGTGGGTCAAGCTTTGGCTTGGCCCCAGGGAAACTGTCTTCTGCACTGTTGGTACCTGTTCCGTGTAGCCGTCTCCCATGTATCTGCAGAGTAGAGCTGTTGGCTGAAGTATTCTCTTCAGACCATCTCTTGGTGTTCTTGGTCCAGATAGCCCAGTGCCTTGAGGACACCTTGGGACAGCAATGTAACAACGGGGTGAAAGGAGAGATCCTGCAGAAGAGGCAGGATCCTCCATGTGGTATCCAACCCCCCACTAACCCTGGGCTCCGAGGCGACCTCTCCTCTTTGTTCACACATAGCTCACGTTTTTCAAAGTAACCACATTAGTGGTTTCTCCCTTTTGCAGCCAAGCCTTTGGGTTGAGCATCCCCAGCTCATTCAAGATGGGTCATCAGGAATGAGCTTGGAAATTTCTGTTCCCGTCCTGCCTTTCCGACACCTCTCTCCTCTGCAAGGAAAAGGCCTTGAGCACCAGGACATGGGCACCAGGCTGGCTCAGTCCTGCTCAGCATCCACCATGTTTCTGGGATCTCCATCCATGTTTCTGGTAGACATTAGGTCAGTCTAGTAATGGCAACTTGTATCTAAATAAGCAAATTCTGCAACTTGTAAAATAAAGAGCCATTGACATAAGCAATGCCTGCTTGTAGAAATGGCACTCAATACAAGACCTGCACAGATATTATGTTTTAGAATAATCTATATTATATTCATACAGTCTGGAAAGCAAAACCTTTGATACCAGTGTTCAACCAAAGAGCACAGGATTCTGTGTACGTCTATAAGAGGCCAGGGTTTCATGCATCGTATAAAAGAAAAATATTTCATTTGAGAGAAATTTTGTACAGAAATCTGCTGGCCAAAGTGAGCCTACAGTGTTTATTCAGCAGCCAAACATCCCAATAGCATCGTCCTGATAGCTTCAGCTCAGTGCAGGGTGAGATAACAGGTCCTTTTCCTTCCTCCTGCCTATGGCTTTTCAAGAACAAAATCACTGGTTTCTGCCTGGGTCCGTTCCCACACCGCAGGCAGGATAGCCAGCAGATGCTTGCGACTGCTGCAAATGATTGTCTCCTCGCTTGTTCCTCAACACTGTTTTCTTATATTTTACCTCTTTTTTGCATGCACTTACTGTAATATTTACTTAGAAATTTGAGAAAGGCTTTGTATTAAAGCAAGTAAATACAATTTCTTCAAAGAGACTGAAAATAAATATGAATCTCTTTGGCTAAGCAAAACTGTCAAACTTTGGCTTCTGAAGTCAGGCAGAAAATGAGTCGTTTTCCAACAGAGCTAAATATATTCACCTCTCATTGATTTCAGTGGAGATCTTAATGCTCAGTAACTTAAAAACAGATAAATTATTCAGATGTTTAAACATGAAGAGCTCATCTGATATTAAGTACTCACGTTTTTAAATGCTTGCCTTAATAACGATTTATCCTCTTTAAAACAAAAAGTAATATTCACTGAGTGGTGTAGCAGGAGGGCTTGGCTACCTTTGCAGCATTTTCTTCGGTTTTCAGAAGAATGCTTTTGCTGCCCTAATAGTTATCTTAGAAGAATTAATGAAAACAAAGAATGTGGGGGTCTAAGTGTGGAAATTTTCACTTAACCCCTTTTTCTTCTCTTTGCAGCTCCCAGTACAGCCCAGTATGGGATCACCGGTGACGCTGAAGTCCTCTTCTCCTGCTGGTACCTTGTGTTGACACTGTCCTCCCTCACCAGCATATTCTACCTGAAGAACATCATTCTGCACTAAGTGTAAAGACCCATAAAAGGCTTTTAAGGATTCTCTGAAAGTGCTGATGACTGGATCCAATCTGGTAGAGTTTGTTAAAAGCAGCGTGGGATATAATCAGCCGTGCTTACATGGGGATGATCGCCTTCTGTAGAATTGCTCATTATGTAAATACTTTAATTCTACTCCTTTTTTTGATTAGCTGCATTACCTTGTGAAGCAGTACACATTGTCCTTTTTTAAGACGTGAAAGCTCTGAAATTACTTTTAGAGGATATTAATTGTGATTTCATGTTTGTAATCTACAAGTTTTCAAAAGCATTCAGTCATGGTCTGCTGAGTTGCAGACTGTAGTTTACAAAAAAAAAATATTGCAGTAAAAATGTGCTTCTTTAAGGCTGCAATACAAATATTCAGTTCCCTTCTTAAATAGCATTCTATCCACATTTACACAGAAACATTTTCTTTTTTGATAAAAAAAAAAATTCAATAATATTGCCTTCAAAATATTTCTTCAAAATATTACACGTATCTAGATTTTCTTCTAGCATGATATTCAGGTTTCAAGAATGAGCCTTGTATTATAACTGCATTGTGCAGTACTGCTTTCTGTTTTCTTTCCTTTTTCCTGCAAATTCAGCATGGGTGTGCCTTCATAAAACACTACTTTCCTCTTCCTCTCCAACAAAGGTAGAATGTGTTTTGGGAAATGCTAAAGCATCCTTTTGAGCATAACAAATCTCCAGCTGAGGACAAAGGTGCTATTGGCTAAAAGGAAAACCTCCTCTCCCATCTCCAGGGGGTCATCGAACTGCTTCAGACTTAATGTTTTTAGGCAATCAGTCAAGGATAGCACCAACTCCTTTTTATGTTTTCCATCTACCACCACTAACCAGTAGGCGATCTCTGTAAAAACTAGTTTTCCCATTACAAAACAGAACGCAAATCATTTTGAGACATCTTTTGGATGTAGGAAGGTTTCCCTTAGTCATTCTAAATCAAGATTCCTAAATGGCTGTAAATGTGAGAAGCTGAATAGTCCCTTTTGTATTACTGGCAAAAACTATGTGAATTGGTATTTTTCTTGCACTTAATTTTGTACTGGTTTGGCTAATTTAGCAATGATAAAGGATGCTTTTAAATATTAGATATCTGAAAATACATGAAGTATCAAGCAGAATTTTATATATATACATATATATATAAAAAATACATATATATATTAAAATGAGGTTGCTCCAATAACTGTACTGAAGTGCATGTTGCCGTCCATGATAGAAACATCTTTACAGACAGGACTTCATTACCGATGTACTAATATCTTACCACAGCAGTTAAGTCTTCATACACGATTTCCTAGTACTGCATTCTATCAAGATAACACTCTCATTTCACTCAGTGAAGGATCAAGTTTCAAAATAGCATATAATGCTACTAACTTTTTTTTGAAACAGCCCCAGACAGCATTAATACAAAATGTTGCTCACAGTTTACAGCTGAATTTAAAAATGCCATCTGTGTAAATTGCTGGGACATGACTATGGCCAGCAGCCCTTGAATGCAAGATCTCCCGGTGACCCCAATAGATCTTGACTTGCTTACAAAACAACTATTGATGACAAGAATAATAAAATCATTATCGACGTTATTATTCCCCTGTTTTGTATATGAACTCCAGTAGGCAACACAATTATTATACTACAACATTTTTTTCTCCTAACAATAGGTTCTTGTAGCTAGCAATACCAGATGAGCACTGTGCATACTCAGCAGTTCTAAATTCAGTTTACAGATACCCTACATTTTGAAAAGGCAGACTCTGAGTTTTGCTAGTCTCAATACATACTATCCCATGCTAATGTGTAGACAGAATATGCAGTGAATCTGTTGTAGTTAGTGATAAAGTATATAAACAGAAATATGTTGACTCCAAAATATGGCAATAAAATGTCCTGGGTCACTCTGCATATGTTCAGTGACAGACCATACTATTCCTATCGTACTATTTACAGCCGTGTGCTAAGCAGTTACTATTTTCAGAAATGTGGCATTTTTTAAAACCTTGAATAACATGACAAAATTCATTCTTTAAGGAAATAGTATAAAACCAATCCAAATTATGTTATACACAGTCCTGATATTCTGATCTCTCTTGTATTGCAGCTTTAAAGTGCTATATTTTAGAACCCACTCACTAGAAACAGTGGTGCTGCAGAAAGTATCATGTCAGTACAGTTTTATGAAGAAAGAAAAAAGGATACGCATAACCCAACTCATATGCCTCATCTCACATAAAATTGAGAGATGTTTCTATACTGTGGCTGGATCAAATTATATATTTCAATGATATATTTCATATCAGTGATTCCTGATATCTGGATCCTGATATTTCCAGCAACAGAATAGAATGAACAGCAGCTTTATTAAATACACACACAAAAAAAAATTAAGTATTGACTGCTTGCATTCGTACCAGGTAGAGCCACTGGATAACGTGGACAAGATATTCAGTCCCATCTCTGAATTTTCACTTAAATTTGGGGGGGACATAATTACGTCAAGTCAAAAAAGAAAAAAAACCCACAAACATTTCTAGGTGCCAATGGCATTTCCTTAGATGAAATAGGTATTTAATATCAGTCAGACCTGCGTGTTCAGCAGTGGACGTGTGTGTGTGTGTGTGTGCGTGCGTGTGTGCAAAGCGCAGTGCGAGGCGTGCCGGGACTGCGCACACGCTGCCGTGTGCCCTCGGTGTCTGTAGGGTTAGTCTCCTGAAGGTTGCTTATGAGACTCTGCCCACTCAGCCCTCCAGTCCTACAAAGAGATATAGCCGTGCTTAACTTTATGCACCGATTAATTCAACAGACATAGTACCTAGAGTCAAACGACCTTAATTTTTGCAGGATTGGAGCTGTAGGCGGTGTTGATCAAATAAAGAAACTTGGTTCTTGGTGAATCTGTTCCATGCGGTAAACTGGTAATTGTGCAGATTGGGACTTATTGGGGCATTCTTCCAAAACGGACGGTGCAGAGTGCTGCAAATTGAACACAACATTTTACAAAATCTACCCACCCTTTAATTTGTGGGGTGTATTTGCTTTAGGAAACTGTTTGAAGGTATGTTCTATGCTTCTTCAAAGGATTAACCCATACTGTTCATATCTGTCGGGCAAATATTATTATATTTATTCCCACCTTTCAAACGTGAAAAATAAATGGCTTAGCTCCAAGCAGTATAACTGAATATTTATATCAAGATTGTTGTCCACATTGGAAACCCCAAAGTCTGTAACACCGTAAGTTCCTACTTGTGCAATAACTCAGGTCTGCAATTACCATTGCATTGGTGACATACATAGAAGCAATGATGCTCTAATTATACAGTTGCTGATCGTGATATTATACTAATACTGAATTAAAGGATGTCTCACAACTTCTTGAACAAATGCAGTTTCTCAAGGGTTTATAACTTGGCAGGAAATGTATCCTTCATAGCTAGACAGCTTTTTTTAAACTTTTCAATATATATACTTTTTTTAGAAACTATGCTGTTTTTAAGATACGGGAGTGTGTTAAAAACCATCACCAGTAAAAGCTGCTTTTTTGCACATTTTCAGAGCTAGCATTCTAGACGAACAATGGTAAATGTTATGCCTACCAAAATCTCCTCTCAGTCCACATAACTGTGTTATAAAGAATGTGTATACCAAAATATGTATTTTCATGGATAAACAATATGCCTTAAAGACTAAATGTGCATTTACTTCTAAGACTGGGTCAGACTTGTGCCCAGTCTGGAGGTAAATAATCCATATTTCATAGCCTGCCATGGAAGGTTTTGTTTCTTCGGAGAAAAAAGAAAAAAAAAAAGCATTTCTTTTAAAAGAATCTTAAATAATTTTAAAATTCTTGCATAAACTGACATATGTGAGGAAGTTTAGGAAAAGGATAAATTTTAGCCTGACACTTTAGCACTGGCAATGCATCGCCTCACTCTTGGGGTTTGCTGTGGGGGCTGGCAGTGCCGCGGTGCTGCCAAAGGCTCGTCACATCCCCTTCCATGTCCCTTTGTACGCTTAACTCCCTCAGGTGGCCCTGAGCCAGGGCAGAGCGAGGTGCCTGGGTGCCCCCTCCTCCCGCAGCACTGTGGGAAGAGGGGCCACACACCCACACCCCTCCGGCCAGGCTACAGCTTGCAACACAAAATTCTTTAAAACAAGAAAATAGTGGGGAAAAAAAAATCTTAAAAAAACAGGAACTAAAAATTCTCCATTCAGCCTTAATATTGAGAGTAGATAAATAAATATTGACGTCAAAGGGAGGAATTTACTTTCAATTTGACTGACCTTAAGCACCGCCATTGCACATGCAGGGATGCTGCAAACACACTTAGTTTGAGTTGGCTCTGGTTTTCAGTCCTGTTTTATGTTTCTCTGCTGAGCATTGAGGGGAAGGGAGGGAATTTATTCTGCGATCAGAAAAGTCCGTAACATAACTGAAAACAGCCAGGTCAAGGCAATGGCACAGGGTCTCAGGATAATTTGGAAAGGATCCTCAATAAATCCTGCTCCAAAAATTTTGTATCAGCAAGGGCAGCAAGATTTTTACCGGGGCATCTTCAGCGCTGAGCACATACCTATTTGTTCCTATCACTTTCTGCCCACTTTATGCCCGAGTCATGAAGAGCTCAAAGGTTCCTTTATAATAGAAAATTCCAGTGTTAAAAAATGTAGAGATCAGTATATTTGCCACCTCCTATAAGCTCAGTTTTCAGTCATTCATTTTTTAAGGCATATTAAGCTTTCCCATTGCTTGGAAGGGTGTAAATCTGCATCATAGGACAAGCTGTGGGGCCAATTCCCATCCTTCTCTGGCTGCTTCATTCTCTTCTCAAATGAAGCTGCAGCAAGGCCATCAGGTCTCTGCACAGGAAGGCTCCCGTGCTGGGGGGGCTGCTGCATGATGCATAATGGTCATCAGCTGCTCTGCATCACCTACACGCTGATGTCTCCGTAACTCCTGCCTGCCAGAATTATCCCTGAGGGTTTGCTTTAATTTATGCCACCAGCCATCCCGGTGTCTGGAGAAATGCAGGAGGGACCTTTTCCTTTGCTCTCACTCCAGACTCGGTTCTCCCAAGCGATGAACTTTCAACCCAACCGCAAACAGCAATGAAAAATAGCACAGCTGAAAGTCATTTTACTTGCAGTCCCTTTCATTGCCTCAGCCCCTGGGGCAGCTGGACAGCAGGTAAACCTTAGCCCCCATTAGCAGAATGAATTACATTTCTGCAGCGAGCCAGAATTTAAAGATGGGGGAGGACGAGACGGTACAGTGCTGCTCTGGCCACTACAGCCACAGGAATTTCCCCTCTTATCTGCCAAATATGAAAGTACTCATTATTCCTCCACTACCCTTTTTTTTATGCTGCCAGATAAAAAAATGCCTGTAATGATGATATATATTATATTTGGTATCTAGAGGGCAAAATCTGTTCTCTCCTAATGCACATCCATCCTTCTCTTTATTATTTTTCAGCCAAAACCAAAACACAATTCGCACATTACACAATGCGATTTATGTGCAATAGCATCAGCTTTTCCACTTATCAAAACCATTATAGTCATAAGCACACAACTCCCATTAACCTCAACGACAGTGACTTAAATGTGAGCCACAAGTGAGAATAAACCTTAAAGATGTGACTGAACAGCAGCAGCCCTGTTTTCTGGTAGGTGTCTAATGGTGAGATGGCAGGGCCATTTCTTCCCTCCCCCTGCCTTATTTTTTTTTCCTTGTACGCAAATTGATTTTCCTCTTCTACAGGGTGGTTAATTTAGGCTGGGAGGTGCAGCCATTTAGATGTGCTTAACATTTTTGATGTGTCAGTTCAGGTAGTGATATACTTCATCAGGCGCGGGCGAGGTAAGGCATCGCGGGGAGCCGCGGCGAGCCGGGCAGGCTGCTCCCACTACATGCTAATGAGGCAGTTTCTTGCAGGAATTTCGGCTCTGTAGAAGCTGCAGGAGGTAGCATGGTTCATTAGGCTACGAAAGCTTTAATATGTTAAAGGAACTGGTTTTCCTCTCTCATTTAAGTGAATTGCTAAAAGCACTGCCTTGTTCTTCCACGGAACTTTGAATTCACTATTTTCCTCATTA